CTCCCGGCCCGCCCGCCGCCCGCCCGCCGCCGGGTAAAGTCTTAGGTTCAGGGAACAAAGCCCGGCTTGGTAGGGAGCTTTTCGCTCCGCCGCTCGGTGCTTTTCCGTCTTCGGTCCTTTAGCGCTTTGGGACTCGGGAGGGTCGCTGCCCAGCCCTCCCTCCACCTGCCTTCGCTCTCGCGCTCTGGGACCCCGATGTCCACCGACACCCCCCCTTCCCCGCCCCCGTCCGGGTCTCCGGTCTCCAGGGGTGCTTCTCCAACCTGGGGGAGATGTGGGAGTGCTGCCGGGGGCGCCGGGACGAAGCGGAGCGACGGCAGCCGCTCACCCCTGCCCCGGCGTGTCCGGGGGGTGCGGGGCGCGCGGGGTCCCCCGGGATGGCAGCTCGCGCGCCCACTCGGGTGCAGACTGTCTCACACGCGGACGTTTATTCATTCAACAGCTATTTATTGAGCGCGTAGCCGGTGCCAGCGGCCGGGAGACGTACTCCAGCCCGCGGGGAGCACGCCGTCGAAGGCGTGAGCACCGGGCCCGAGGAACTCCCGGAGGAATCCGGCACACCCACGGCCCCGCCACCCGATCCGCCCGCCCTCCCTCGCTGCGGGGGACTAACTCCCGCCGCCCCAGGGCGCGAGGTGGGGACGGCCTCCACGGAGGCCCACCGCGGGGCCGCACTTGACCCGCAGGCCCGCCCGCACGGGAACACAATGGAGCGCACACCAAAGAAAGTCCCCCGAAATTGAGCCTGGGGTTAGAAGCGGGACGAGGCCGTGAGTGGCAGCCCCAGGGCTGCCGTGTGGGCCAGGAGGGACTAGATCTGACCTTCACACACTCTCTAACGGGAGTGTGGGGTGAGACCAAAGGTCAATCCCCCCCCCTCGGCGGGGAGGTGCGGTGGCGGTGGGGAGAAGGCCGACTAGGGGGGCTTCAGCCACACTTCAAAGACCTCACGCGCCGGGAGCGCTTCCGGGGGGGAGGGGCAGGGGGTGAAGGGGGGCTGCTCCCCCTCCAGCGCACACCCCCCCTCCTCCCGTAGACTCTTCCGCCCGGTCCGCCTCCTTTTCACCAGCACCTGTTCAACCGGAACATCAAGGGGCCGGGCCCGCCGCCCCCCCTCTGCGTCTCTTTAGTACCTTTCATCCCGGAAAGGGGGGGGAAGTAAATCTCCGCCCAAGTAGGGGGGGAGTAGGGCGGGGGAGAACTTGTCCTTGACCTGGGCTGTGGCGTCGGGGATTTACTCCTTAATCCTGGCGTGGCGGGGGTTTGGGGAGGTTGGGTAAGCTGTGTTCTTGGCCGCAGCCCCCAACTGCCAAGCTTGAACACTACAGCAATCCAGGAGGGCGGCCGGGATGCAGAGGCTCCGTCTGAGGGCTGCACAGTGTGAGCGGAGGCGGCTTTTCGTGTTGGAGGAAGGGGTCGAGCTCAGGTCCGAGGTCCCAGGTCCTGGCAAGGACCGCTCTTTTCATGGTTTTACCAAAAAACGAAACAAAACACCCCTCCCTTGGAGTTGCTAACGAATTCCCTTTACTACCAAGAAGGAATACAACCGCTGGACAAGCTCAACAACGTTAGTCCTGACCAAGCGCCAGCTTCAGAATTGTCTGAGTATTTGCTTCTGGAACCCACCACTGTGAAAGTCCTGCCGTGTCGGGTTTCGTCCAAGGGAAGGGGGAGGCGCACTTGAAGCGGGGGGGGGGTCCCCTGTGCACGTGTGGGGCAACCTGGAGACGGGCCGGGAAACCTTTGTCTCGGTCAGGCCGGTGCCCAGCGTGCCCCCCACGACGCTCGTGGCCTGGACGGGTGACACGCGTGTATTTGCCGTCGGATGAACATCATTTTGTGTAGCACTTCCCACCACCGTTTAGGATGGATGTTGATACCCCCCATCTTATGGATAGAACAACTGAGATCCCTCCCCCACACACACACACCCGGATTCAATGACGCGCTCCAAAAGCACCCAGCCCGGAAATGGAAGAACCAGGATTTGAACCCGTTGTGTCTCGGTAGGGAGGGCTGGAGCTCCCCACCCTGTGTGGTGTCGGGGCGAATTTGGGGCGTCCACCTCTCCTTTTTACTCCGCAGGTGTCCAAAGAACCGGGCTCCGAGAGGGCGGCTCTGATTTCGCGGTGGGACCCCGAGGCCGAGCTGTCAAGCCTATTCCCCAGCTTGCTAAAGTTTGTTTTTCGGAGCGCCCAGCGCGAACCGATCCAAAACATACATTAAAAAAAAAAAAGGTGCAAGATCAAGTCCTGAGCAACAAGTGGTCCAAGTTCCCCAAGCAGTCTGATTTGAGGGGTTGCGCAGATCCTGGCTGTGCGACTTTCCACGAACGACTCCGGGTCTCCCACGCCCAGCCAGGCCCCCCCGTACGCGGGACGTTTACCCCGCGGCGAGGGTCCCCTCGTTGGCACGCTCCAGGGACGCGAGTAGCAGGCGCTCCGGCCCTGCACAGCCCCTCTCCGCGCCCCTCCCGCGCGCCCGCTTCCCGCCCCGCGCATCCAAAGGGACTGGGGCAGCGACGACCAAACAGAAAATTATTTCCGCCCGCTCGGCCCGCCCCGCTCCGCCCCGCCCCGCCCGTCCCCGGAGCCAGAAGGG